AGAAGAAGAAGAAGAAGAAGAAGAAGAAGAAGAAGAAGAAGAAAAAGCAGCAGCTGGCCTTTTCCTATGGTTCAACCATAACAACCGAGTTCTACGCTCACAAACACTCCTTCCTAGATTTGAAAACCACCTCTTTTAGGAAGGCTCTTGCTCTCTGCTAGACCGTGCGCACTCCCCACCCGCTGGCCCGCGGTCCCCCAATCCAGGAAGCCGGGCCCCAGGCTCACCTTGGGCTTGCTGCCGCCGATGGCACCGGGACGGATGGAGCCCGTCTCTTGATACCTGCAGAGGATCTTAGAGACGCAGCCATGGGACACGCGCAGCTGGCGGGAGATGACGCAAGGCCGAATGCCGTGGTGGGCCATCTCCACAATCTTGTGGCGGATGTGGTTGGGCAGGGGCCTGCCGTTGATAAACACCCCTCCAAGCTGGTTGACTCGGCCCTGGCCGAGGGGGGTGGATACTGGGGAGAGAAGGGAAAAAAGAGAGAGCCCAGGCGAAGGTCATTTAGAAAGCAAGCAGAAGAGAAAAGAAAAGCTGACCTTCTGGCCAGCTCGCTGGTGACAGTCAAACACAATCTCCCAGGTTTTGGACTCCCAGACCCGAACCCTTGCTGTTCTATTTATTTAAATAATTACCCAACGCAGGGCCACATAATCTTTTGGAAATTGAGGGACTGGAGTGAGATAACTGGCTGAAAAGAAACTGTATTTTTTTTTTTTTTGAGGGAGTGGGGGGGCGCTGCAAGTCTGGTCGGGGGGAGAGCTGGGGCTGGTGCCTAAAATGTCTTGCGATAAGTGCCAGAAAACCCTGCCTTTACTGTTTCCGGATCAGAGCGTGGTAGGCAGGGGTCGGGGAGGGTCCGGGAGGGAGGTACAGGTTGACAGACCGCATCACCTGTTACGCTTCAGAAATAGACGTGGCAGGCTGGGACCCCAAAGGAGCCGAACCGACCCTTCGTGGGTGCTGCCTGCCGGTCCTCTCTGGCCCGAGGTCGAAGGACTCCGCCAGAACCCTGGGCCCCAGCCTTCACTTTTCAGGTTCTTTGGGGAGGGGTTCGGGTTTGCAGCAACTCGTGCCTCCCCGAATTTTTCCCCCAGCGGCTTCAGGACAACCGAAGGGCACCGGCCAAGGTTTACAGAAGCTCGGAGATGCCGCTCGGGTGGCACGGCCTGGCACGGAACGGATAATCCCGAAAAACTTTCCGTTTTTCGGGATTATCAGTTTTCCGCGGCAGGAAAACTCGCGGGGCACTGGCGGGAGGTTTTGTTTTGGTTTTTTTTCAAAAAAAAAGGAAAAGCCGCCGGAAACAACTTCGGAGCCCCTCCGGGGGGACAGAGGGAGGACTTGCTTCCGGCGCCGCGAAGCCGATCCACCTTCCTCCCAAACAACGGGGCAGAGCGGAGCCCGCGGGAGCAGGCCCGGCCGAACTGCCAGGGTTCGGGGCGAGCGCAGCGCTCGGTCCGCGGCCAGAATGGGAGACGGGCTCCTCCCCCCCCCCCCCCAGGCCCCCATCTAGCAGAACCCCCTCCCCACTTTCGCTTCTTGGCCCGGGAAGTCCGGAGGGGAGAGGCTCCCGGTACGGCACGGCTCCTCGGCCCGGGAGACCTGGGTCGGGAGGCGGCAGCCCAGTCCCAGGCCCCGGGGATCCCGACGGACGGAGGCCTGAACGTACCTTCCAGCGGGAAGCCGCTGCGTGGGTAATTCTGCCCCGGGCCTGGCCGCATCATCCTGGGCACGGCGCCGGCCAGCGTGGTCATTCTGAGGGGGGCAGCTTCGCTCGCCAATTATATCCAGGTGAAGACGAGGCGGAGGAGCGAGCACAGCGCGGAGGGGTGACCCTTGGGAACTCTCCGGCTCGCGGAGAGCTCCTCCCCACCCCCAAAGAAAAAGCAGGAGAGAGAGAGAGAGAGAGAGAGAGAGAGAGAGAGAGAGAGAGAGAGAGAGGC